GTAATTTATTGCAAAAGTTGTCCCAGATCCAAGAAACCTATTTATATGATTTAGAGGAAAGTTTTTTGTCAAAAATGAATTTAGTCTTTTGAAGACTATGGTCCTCGTGTCCAGGTTCCCACTAATTAACCTCATGGAGTTTCTAAAGAGGCTGAGCTGTTTGCAATTTTTGATTAGTTTCCTTTTTAAAGTGTGTTGTCATAGAAGTAGCTAGCTTTGATTGTTATTTTGCAATAATTCTCAATGTTGTCTGAATCATTTTATTCATAACACATTATTTTTTTCTTCAGATTGTTGGACCAGACCAGAAAGTAATATATTCTGGGGACAGAGAAAGCAATGGAAAGTACACATTTGCAGCCCACATGGATGGTGTTTACACTTACTGTTTCAGCAACAAAATGTCAACAATGACTCCTAAAATTGTGAAGTTTGGCATGGACATTGGTGAAGCCCCTAAAGAAGCTGGAAAAGATGATGATGGTTAGTTATTTGAAATATGTAATTTGTTCAGTTCCCAACATTTCTGAAAGCAACTGTCCATATCAAAGATAATATTAAGAAGCCATTTTAACAAAATGATTTTTAAGGAAAAATATAGTAAATAGAAATAGTCAAGTTGCTGTTTCTATCATCAAAAATATAAAAAGTAAAAACAAGATTGTTTTTCTAATCTACTTTCTATTTTCACTCTGTGACAAGAAACCTTTAGAATGGCCTAGTAAAAATAACATCTTCCTGTTTAGCTTACAAAATTTGATTTTAAATGTTGTAATATTTTGATTCTACCTTATCTAGCCTTTAGAAATGCAAGTAGGTTATATGTATCATACAATTGCAAACGCCACTATTTTTTGTTTTTAGTGTACATCTTGCACTAAGTGCAGTTAACCCATTCACTCCCAGCTGTTTGATTTTTTTGTCATTTGTTGCATAATCAGTGTTTTATATTTTAGCTGAACATGATAAACTGAATGGCATGATACACCAGCTATCTTCAACTTTAATTGGTGTCAAACATGAACAGGAATATATGGAAGTGAGAGACCGTGTTCACAGAGCAAGTAAGTTCTCATTTAAAATTTTGGTCCGACAATGTTTTTAGTAGTAGATTGTTCTAATAGTTTATACTGTTTGTGGTTTGGGCCTGGTTGCTGTTTTTATTACATACCCTTGGATGCACAGAACAGGATGGTTCTTATTCATATTTCTCTAAGTTTCAAGCTTTTTAGAATCATCAGGCAACTTTTGAAATACTCTGTCTTTAGGTGTAATTATATTTAGTTGTTATGTCTCTTGATGTGTCAAGAATTTTGTTGCCCACAACTCGCGCGCGATAGCGCGCGAGTGAAGGGCTCATAGTCTGCCCCGCGTATAAGTAGCATATGGAAGCTTCAGTTCATGTTGTCAGCACTTTGTCAGCAGATTTTTTCACTTTTCTGCTGCCATGACAACTGTCAATCAATTTCATTGTCAATCAATCGGCTTTGTCGAGGAGGTCGTTAACCGCCACCTCTTTGTGCAGAAGGAATTATCTTCGGAGAGTTGCTCTGCCAAGACTCTGTTAAAGGCCTTCGGTTTTTTTGGCACGAAAACGGTGCTGCATCACAGCTCGGTTCTCCGCAATGGATGGAAGTTTTGATTCGAAGTTTTGGGAATCAAAACCAGTTGAATGCCACACCTTTCTCCCAAAAACTCGACACCGTACGAGCAAAAGTTATGATTGTCGTGATTATCGCCTGTACATCGCTGTACGAATCCTTTATCGCAATCTATTTTAGCTGTACCCGTTCTATCACGTGTCCATTTTCATACGTCTTTGCTTCACGAAAACGAAAAATAAATGTCAAACCCTAGAAAAACTTCATGATTTTCAAAAGGGCGTTGGACTTAAATCAAAGGCAAACTGAACACCAAAAATTCTTGATAAAAAGAATAGTTTAGCATCAACTAGAGCAGCTGTTTTTATAAAATTGTGAAAACCCAAGATGGTGTCTTCTTCGAATATCCTGACCTAAATTTTCAAAACAATCATTATCAAGGAACTAATTGTTTGCGGGCAGTACTAGCAAGAGCTATTTCTAGTATATATATTAGAGGATTTTATAAGCTAATTACAATACTCAAGGCTTTTTAAACAAGTGAGACAACACTACCTAGGCCTTTATTCAGATACTTTCTATCATATCTATTTATGGCCTTTTACTATGAATTTCAAGCATTACTGCAGAATTGGTATATTTACTGCATTTCTCTTCATATTTTTACTTGTTTTCTCATGTATGTATATACTCATCCAAAGAAAGAATTTGTAAACTGGGCAGGCTTTCTTGGATATATTTTTAACTTATATTTAGTAGATCAGTTTAACTTAAATATAGGATATTTCACATTAGGGGAAGGGCATATTCATGATGCCTTACACAAAAGAGTAAAACTTGCATTATTTAAACTAATTAACTAAAGTGTTTTCAGTGAATATTGTAGAATAAAAATTGCTTCTTTTTATAGATTGGAAAAGAATTTTTAAATTAAAGTAATATATAGAATATATATTTCCTGACTTTATATTTTTCTTTTTGTCTTTCTTTCTTCCTTCCTTTGTTTGTTTGTTAGTTTGTTTCTTTCTTTCTGTCATTCTCTCTTCCTTTCTTTCTTTTTTGTGTGGTTGAGCTTAAAGATTGAAGTTCTATGTTCCATGTGCTAATGTTTTCTTGCAATGAAATATACTATAAATATTCACATACAAGAAACTAATTTTTTGGATGAGGCAGCACTTATATTTTGAAAATCAGGCAAATGTGGTTCTTATAAGTATTTCATTTATAGAAAGTTATAGAAATGATATCAAATCAAATTATTGTTTTTAAACATTCTTTAACTTCTTTAATCAATACCTTATTTTTCTTTGCAATTTATTAACTTTGTTTCTTCTTAATTTTAGTCAATGACAGCACCAACAGCCGAGTAGTGTGGTGGGCCTTTTTTGAATGTTTGATTCTTGTTGCCATGACACTTGGACAAGTCTATTACTTGAAGAGGTTCTTTGAAGTAAAGAGAGTGGTATAATTCTTAGTTTTTGACAATTAGAATAGCTATCCGGCTTTGTTTTCCCTTTCCCTTTTTAACTAGGCCCTTCCTTTGAAAACCTTGTTAAACATCTTGCTCTCTACATCTTTTCCTACTATTGTTGTTACCTACTTAGTTTGTTTTACAATAAGTATCTTTTTGAGTACACCATGGCCAGATTCACCTTGCCCCCATTTCAAATGCTACCTTGCACAAGCTGCGTTGTTTATTGTGCATGCCAAGATATGTATATAAATGTTATATTATAAGTCTCTCTGCACAAAGAAACATATCTGATAGTGTGAACAGATCATATAAGCAGCACAAGTATTTGGCTCCTGGAAATGGTTCTATTTCAAAATAAAAGGAAGAAAATTCAAATACCTATGTCCACTAATTATCAAATTTGCCATCCTTTTTTCAATTTGTATGTCCTTCCTTGTTCACCTTGTTCATTGTTATGAACTGAGATCTATTTCTGTATTAATATTATACATGGTGTTGTTTTTCTGCTGACAAGTTTTCTCATGTAGATGACATGATACAAGTATTTAAAGAAACATGACAGTAAAATTTTATGAGACATGTCAAAATTTCTGACAGTGTTACTCAAGTTTTCGTTTTTCACTGGTATCTGTTCTTTTGGCATAATGCTTTAACTCAAAGTTGATTTCTTCCTGTAAAGATGTTCACATTTTCATTCTAATATCATAGGTCTTGGAAATGCTTTCCTTTTAAATAAAGAGGGGAGATTGTTTATCAGAATTCTACAATATTTGGTTGTTGCTCTAAAAAACTTATTAGATTCAAAATAAACTTTATTTTATCATTTCACAACATCATAGATACCCTTTTAGGGAACAAATATTTAACACACATGAAATTTAGAGCACTTTATCCTTACTAAAGATGGAAATTTGGAGAAATTAATGGATTTTTAAAAAAAACCTTGCAAAAATTGCTTTATTTTGAATAGAATTTCTCAAATAGAGACTTTTAAAGCAACCAAGCATCAACCATTGTTACACTGTCTCGGCCAAGTATAAACCTTCAAGAAATGATCTCGAATTTTCATTTAAAGGGTATGGACTTACTTCTTGACAAAAAACCATCATTTCATATCTGACTGGAAAGGCTTTAAGCAGTTTAAAAATGCTGAGACCTGATTGTTTACCTTAAATTTTACCATTTTCTGCCATTTGAATCACATTTTCAATCTGAAGAACTTTTCAAAAATTGTGATTTTTCAAAGACTATCGGCTTACTTTTTGACAAAAATTAGGCCACTTCTGATCCGACTGGAAAAGGTTTAAGCAGTTCAAAAGTGATTCAAATTGACTTTTTGGCTTTAATTTTCATCATTTTACGCTATTTAACTACTTTTTCAATGTAAATAGCTTTCACAAAAAGTGCGATTTTTTCAAAAGCTATAGCCTTACTTTCTGACAAAAACTTGACCATTTCAGATCCGACTGGAAAAAAATTTAAGCAGTTCAAAGTGTCTCAACCTGACTTTTTAGCTTTAATTTTGATCATTTTACGCCATTTTAACCACTTTTTCAAGGTAAATATCTTTCACAAAAGTGTGATTTTTTCAAAGGCTATAGGCTTACTTTTTGATAAAATTCGACCATTTTTTATCCAACCGGAAAAACATTTAAGCAGTTAAAAAGTGTCTCAACCTGACTCTTATGCATTAATTTTAATATTTCATGCCATTAAATTACATTTTCAATGTGAAAAACTTTACAGAACTTGTCATTTTCCCAAAGGCTATATGCTTACTTTTTAACCAAGGCTATAGACTTACAATTTTTCTATCGAGTCCAGGTGTTTCTTAGAAAACCAGTTTCACAAAATACTAGATAACTTTCAAGGCCATTATTAATGCATCTTATGAAAGGAATAACACAAAAAAATTTGACACACCCTTGACAAATATCTAAAAACTACTTTTAGATGTTATTCCATTTGTTTCTTATTCCAAACAACTGCTCTCGATAAATTTTTCTCTTAATTATTCATTCAAGGTTAAGTTGTCCTTCTTTGCAAAACAAAAAGTGAAGTGCAATCGTTCATTATCTTGAGACTGAAGGTATCTCACAGATAGACTGTCTTGTTCTAAACAAACATCGTTAACTAGTTATGGTTTAGAAATCAAAATAATTCTGACCGTACATACACCCTGTAACAATAAGGTGCATACACGAGATTCATTTTGGGTCCCTGGCTGTAGAGTAACATAACTGAATGTCTGCATTGGATAGGAGACGGACAAAATTTCAAGTAATACATTAGAGCAATCCAACTTGAACATGTCACTGGACTGTTTTGCTGCAAAGCCTTGCAAGAAGTCCTGACATCTGCAAAAGAGAATTCACCCCTTCTGCAACCCTCATATGTGTATAACCAATTTCCTAGAAAACAAATAAATTAGCATTTTTAATTCTTACACACAGTCATCACTTTAACATTCTGAAAACCAAGTATCTCTATTGAATAGAAGGGGGCCAAAATATCAATCAAAATTCAAGAAAAATCAAAGTATCGTAAACTTAATGAGAATTTCTATAAATAATAACTGAAATATTGAACTATTAAGGTATTCAAAAAAACATTCAATACTTGAAAACGCAAAAAATGAAAATAAAGTTGATGAAAAGACAAAAAGGATTAGAAAACTTACTTTTATAAATTCTAATTTCAAATATTCCGCCATTTCCATATTTTTGCACACTCTGAAGATGTTGGTGATTATGTCAACTGCTGAATATCCCATGCGCCAGAGATGGGACATAATCTTGTATGCTTCGTCGATATCTCCGTTCGTGCAATGCGCCAGCATATCTTTGACTAGCAAAGGATGAGGCTCGTCACAAACCTGAAGAGACAGTGAAAATATTACTAAAGTCTTCTTCTCATTGGAAAAAATTGCAATCAAAGGCACATGAAAATCGTGTATCTCTTTACAGCAGCTATTCAACAAGCCAATATCACGTTTAAACAAAAAGTAATTTAATAGAGCTAGTCACTGCTAGATGCTGACTGTGAAAGGGAATGCTGCGACCCTGCAATGGCAAATCTTTAAGTAAACAATAAAGAGGAGGGCAGAGACGGCACAAAATATCAAATTAAACTTTTAAGTATCCCAAGAACCAATTGTGGGGAGGGGGGGGGGGTTGATTCAGTGCTTGACTTTAACTTCAATGCTCGGTTATTGAATAACTGGGGAAGTAGAGGGGGGTCGTAAAACTAAAGTAAATGGGGGTCGTAAAACAAATGCTCAATTCCAAAATGCTAACTGAGCTAAAAAAGTACAAACCTTGAAAACATTTTCACTATTCACAAAGCCAAAGCCAGCATACGTTGACTGTAAATTGTTCAACGCCTGTATGAGAATAACCATAGCTTATTAAGAACAGGGTAACAAAGCTGCAAAGTGACATATAGGTGCAGTCCCTGATTGTTCAGGCTACTCTTCCTTTCTTTCAAGGTTTTAAAAGTATGATTAAAAAGTGGGATGCCTTGGACTGTAATGGTAGTGCTTGACAATGCGTGTCTCGTTACTAGTTCTTTTATATTTAACTATATTAATTATATCTATTAATGTTTAATATATTCTTCAATTTAGATAAGTTTACTTTGTATAATTTGTGCATAGTAAGCTAAAAAATGTAAACAAACCTATTTAAATAAGTTGAAAAAAAACAAAAAAAATCACCACAAGACATGCAGAAACAATTTAATTGGTAGGAGAAGATCATTTATCGGGATTTGATTGCTAGATCTCTTGACTGATTTCGTGTCTTCACTGTAACTTTCATCCGGCATTGTGTTTTGAAATCCAATACAATATACTGTGTTCAAGATTAAGTGGTCAGGTGTACTTTCAAAACAATTATCATTTTATTCAATTACCCTTTTTACCATCTCAGAATAAGAAGGTAATAGAAAAAAGAGAATTTCACTCTATTAGCACAAATATTATTAACAATCGTACTCTACTATAAAAAAGAAAGCAAATAATTATGAAAAAAAGCCTGACTTATCATGTGTTTAAACATTCAGTTTTTTCGCTGAACCTTTAACCTAGCATATAACAATTCGATGAAAAATTATTCTAAACCCCCAATCGGTAGCCTGGTTCTAGAATTTAAAACTTGCAACTATATTGACAACATGTTATTGGGACATGTTATGCGGAGAAAAGGCATAGAGAACCTATCGCTAACCGGAAAATTAGAAGGTAGAAGAGCAAGAGGCAGACAGAGAATGACGTATTTGAGCAACATCAAAGAATGGACTAACAGGACAAATGGAAATGAACTCATTCAAGCATGTCAAAATAGAGAAGTTTGGAGGAGCATGATCGTCAAAGCCTTAGCGCATGACATATAAAGAAGAAGAAGAATATTGACAACTTTCTACATCACAGTCTTTTAGCACTTAATCAGAAACTTTTCCCCTAAAATTTAGGCTTCGAAGACACAATAAAAATTTATGATTTTTTAACTTCAAATGTTTTTTAACTTTTAACAACTTATAACTACTTAATATGAATTTGAATGTTGAGCAAAACCTGTCGCATATCCCCCTGGGCCGTAAAAACGATAGCCTCCATCCCAGCATCATTTCTAGGTACCTGAAGTGACATAAAAACAATTTAATGTATAGGCTATGGCAAACGAGTAGATTATGTAATGTTTAGCAGGCAAGAATGAAAAAGGTGAAAGGTTAGCCGTCGCTGATGGTGAAATCAAGATAACCAATCAAACGCGTCTTTCTTCATTTCACGTGACTTTCGATCCACACCTGGATATAAATTTTCAGCTTACTTTCGGTGATTATCCAAGGTTAATATTCTGAAAAGTGCAATAGTTTGTTATGATTCCGATATTTCGTGCAATCTTCAACTTTTGCCGTACCAAAATATTACAATGAATTAAAAAGTTATAAATATCTAAAAAGTATAGGTGGTTAGATTCACTCCTAAATTTATGGCTTGTAAAATAACTGAAAGCACAAATCCATTGGAGATCAAGAATATCAAAATATTATCGAGTCTGTTAAACTATTAAGCCTCTTACATATGATTACGTCATAATATAAAAATGCTTTCTTACACTTTCTTTTTCGCACACATCGAGTAATCTCTCAAGGATTTGAGCATCGCTTAATTTTGAGTATCGGAGGACAGCACAGCGTGATTGTATGGCCTCTGTGTAAGAAATGCAAACAAATTATAGAATTATCAGTCACATTATCAAGGTACCTTTCATACTTTGTGGTAGGCTACTACATGAGATCTGCGACAGTTAGGTTAGCAAAAACATCATAATAGAAAAATCAAAACATACCAATAATTTTGTCTGACTGGTTGCATGCCAGTGCAAATCTTGTCGTCTTTGAGTAGATCTCCATTGTCCTTCTCAAGGCTTGTTGTGCACCGTCAGTCATGCTGAAAATGAATAAATAAATAAATAAATGTTCAAAAAGTGTAAAATAATAAATATCACATATATAACTTTAATCAAGTAAACGCACAATAAACAATACTTATGTGCCTTTATTTTGAGCAGTACTGTGAGCAACCACCGCACAGAATTTCAAGGATTTCTTAACTGGGAATTGGAAGAAGTCAGTGGTAAGTTATCATCAAACGGATCTTCATTATGGCTTTGAAATTATATATTTTTCATCGTGTTCTTTCGGACCCTGATTCTGACGTTATATGCTCTGAGGAGTGTCAGACGAAAAAGCTTTTAGTATGTTGTAAAATATTTGCTTTTTCAAAGCCATTTTCAAATTCTGTACCGCAAAAAAATGGATCTTCATTAAGTGTGCTAATGACTTAGCCAACTTAATTCGCGACCAAATGCAACGAAAAACATTGGGTCTAGGTTATTTACCATATACGTAGACAAAAGTTTCTTGTTCGCAATATCATGCATTAAAACAAAGATTAAAAACAAATTAGTTCATTTCTGTAAGCAAGCAAATAATTTTCATCATGAAAGCAATCGAAATCAAAAAGATCAAAACTCCAATTTGCTTGCTTAAGCTACAAGTCATCTCAAAATCTTTAGTTTATCTTATTTCACACATTTTTTAAAGATCAAAGATCATTAAACATTTCTTGCAGAAGGAAACCCACAAGCATAAACTGGGCCTACCTATCAGCCTCATCTAAAATAATGATCTTGTGTCTTCCTTTTGGCAGTGTCACTTTCTGTTGTGCGAACATCTTTATTTTATTTCGTACCACATCAATCCCTCTGTGAAAACAGAACAATGCTGGTTATGGACTGCAAAATTATAGCAAATCATAGCAAAAAACTTGTCAAGCAAGGGTAAAACAATTAAAGAGACTCGCAGTTACACAGATTCGTTACAAACCAAAGGAGTTCTACGTACTAAGGAGAAAAAACAAACAACATTCTGACTCAAACCCAAACTCAAATTCTTTTTTAACAAAAACAGCAGTTACGTACAATATTAAATACAATGAGAAAATATTGATTGGGAAAAAACAGTAAACATGGTGGGCACATGGAAAAAGCTCAAGGTGAACCACTGAGTCATGTGGCCAGAATATTTAGTTTTCTTCATATGCCATTTCACAATGGAATGATTTCCTGTGTCCCTTTACAATACTAAATTCACTTGAATGACTCGATTGGGTGATATATGAAACTTGACAGTTCATATCTGACTCTTGCATTTATCTATGTTTTTATTGTGCAAATATTGCAGTTATAAGTGAATAGACTAACTATCTGGGATACTCCATGACGCAGATGTTACTTAATTTTAATAGCTTTGATATGTGAATGGTTGTCTAGCAATAATGACACAGCACTGTGCCACTTCCATATGTTGAGGCAGTCTACATTTTGGTTGAAAGATAAAAATTTTCAGAGCTTGGTTTATGGGACTGAATTCACTTTATAAGACTCTGTATATTACCCGAACTCGTTTCGTTTCGTTTCGTTTCGTTTCGTTTCGTTTCGTTTCGTTTCGTTCCGTTTCGTTTCGTTTCGTTTCGTTTCGTTTCGTTTCGTTTCCTTTCGTTTCGTTTCGTTTCGTTTCGTCGAATAATTGGCTTTAAATAAGCCGAAATATTCACTTCAATCATATTTAACACAGACAAGGAAACATTCCAAAATCTGGGCATTACTAGAATGCAACGCGAGGCCTTACAATCTTTACAACCGTACTTTTTGTCATTCATTATATATTTGAATGACAATTTAATAAAAATAACAAAAATAAACGACTTAGTATGAACACAGAATAATAAACAGCAGTACAGTTTACAAAATTCACTGGAGGATCCACCACCAATTGAAACTCAAACCTATTTAGAGTGATTTTAAAAAAAATGAAAATGACGAAGGACGGTCTTTCAGTTTCAAGATTCAACACCTTATCGGAATACACAGAATTACCTCACCAGTTAGCTAGAATGCACTCGTGAATTTGAATAAAGCGCGTTCCAATATTTCATATTGTTTAAAAAAACATAATAAAAAATCGAAAGTAGAAAAAAATCATGACGTAAGACTTGAAAATCACCGAATTTAAAACTTGACAGGTATGTGTAGAAACTTTAAGTGTAGAAATCATATAGAAACTTTAAGTTTGTACCAGGAAAGCATTTTTGCTACAAATCAAATACGAATTGAGTAGAACAGACAACTCTAGCGTCTACCTATCATTTGAAGCGTTCAGTTCCAAGACAGCATCTTTATATGATGTACCAAGCAATGCTCGGGCTAAGCAGAGAATGCTAGTCGTCTTTCCAGTCCCTGGTGGTCCCTTTAAAAAGCAAACATGAAATATAGTCAATACTTCAGGCATTGATGACTTCAGAAATGCACTGGATATTTAAAAATTGACGTTGCAAAACAGAAAAAATGGAAGGGATGGAAGGGGTTGCAAATGAAAGAAAATAGCTTGGATTGATGAAATGCTAGTGACATAGGAAAAGAGAGAGCAAAATCATGCAATTTCAGGCAGCAAAATTACACGCTGTTATATCTGAGCATTTTGAATAAGCATAGCACGTTTTTCTGCACAAAATGTATCTATAAGTTGCAATTTCACCACCGGCGGTTATGTCTGGTTTCCATAGCTTCAACCTAGCATATTTATCCAGGGCATATTTATCATTCATATTGAGGTATTTCTGGTGCTTAATAAATTGAAAATTTGGATCATGAATTTGTGCAAAATATAAACTATTGCATGGAAAGTCAAATGCATTCTCAATGTTTTGCTTGATAAGAATATCCAATATACGTACTGCAATGATAACATTAGGAACGTTGCCATTTTCTGCAAAGGCCTGAAAGATATAAAAAATCATTTACATAAAAGTCCTTTTAAATAAATGACAAAATTACATTAAACGAGAAATTATGCGTGGCAGTTGATTTGCCAAATCTTTTAATTTAGTTATATACTCTTAAGAAATACTAAACTTATATATTTTATGTCTTACATATTCCTTTTTAAAAAACTGTTTATTGAGTGAAGGCTGAACTCAAAAAATAGAATGGGATAGAGGGAGGGGATACATGATGCCATGACCCAAGAAGAAGAAGTTAGGGCTATTGGTCTTCAATTTGTGCAGTAAAGTCTCATTTTGAAATACTTATTTAAAAGAGGTTGGGGATTTTTTAAATTTTACAAATAACATAAAAAACATACCTAAAGTGCCACATATTTCTGGAATAAATAATAAGCCTAAACAATGTTTGAAAAAATAATTTTTACCTGAAGACGGCTTATCGTTTCTTCGTTGCCCACTATTTCAGTCAATTTTACCGGGCGATACTTTTCAACCCTGAAAGCAGAAATGATAATTAAGAGCAAGGCAAATAAGAGACAGTAAAGTTGGAAATTTGTTGGAAAATTGTAGACACAGTAAAGTTTAAGGGACTTAAGTTGGGTTAACGGGGAGAGGGTCAAGCCATCAGATCTCCCAAGTATTTGGCATGTGTTTCAAACTGTAAAAAATCATATCAAATGTATGACACAAACCGTGGTAGACGGATAAATTTAATAATGGAATGAAAATCTACGAGGAAATATAGATGTCGAAAACACATGACCCAAGTTGCGCCAAAGTCCATAATGACGACATGCCCTGTCGTCTTTTCATCTAGCAGTTATGGAATCGATCTAGATAAAAACGAAAAAGCCAGGAGATACACGACAAGCTGTCGTTTTCCACAGGAGGAGTTCGTTTCACCCTTGAACTTCAGTGGGACGTTTTCTATATGTACGCAGTACTGACTGGGTAACTATACTGGTCATGTACCCCCGTTTCTCGTACGGACCTCATCGATCTATAATTGAGTATATTTTCTTTCTTGACTTTTTCAGCCCTTATTCTGACGTTTTATTCCCTAAAGAGTGTCAGATTATAAGCTTTATTATGTTGTAAAATTTTTGCTTTCCTCAAAGCCATTTTAAAATTTCTAATATTCTAAAGATGGGGACTTGAGTATATTGTAAAGATGAGGACTAAGAGTTTTTCGAGCCCTGGAGCAAGTACAACAACAAAGCGTTGTGAGGTGATAAGGTGAATACTTTGGCACTGCAACCAAATGCTGCAAGGAGACGAACATCAGATAGAGGAATGATGTTACGATTAAAAAGGCGGCTACACTTGAGTATACTTGATGGTAAACTAGAGGCATTTTGTTTCTCACTGGAGGTATTGCTGGGCCGGAAACTATTACCCAGATGCAATTCAACAAATAAGTTGCAGTAAGGGTTAAAATTGTCATCTGGAATTTACGTTTTAGTTGCGTTCTTTGTAGCGGCTTGTGATGAGAAGTGTCTTGCGATGACACCAACACACGTGTAAAGAAATATAGCACAATTTTTTTACTTACTTTGATTATCTAGAATAATCCATAGAAAATTATATGGTTGATTTCAGCAAAGGGCGCTAATTGAACCTAAATTTTGAAGCATTTCAATTTACATCGTAAAGTTGAGCAATTTTACAGCATTGCAAGGCAGGGCTGTTTGTAGACTGAACTCATGCTTGATGCCACAAATCAAGTAAGTTAAAATGGAGCGCTTAATTAAAAGTGGATGGCTAATTCAAATCAAAACATTGCGTGTATTTCTGTTAGAATAACCAGTAAAAAAATAAGCAAAAGAATATATTTACAGAATTTCCTTTTAGTTCTGACTTTTTCGTAATTAGAAGATCAAATTAAACTGGGCTATGATTGTAATTAGTCAATTTTGAAAATAATTGTTGCCGTGATATGCTCACATTCACAGATTATTTTGCAGAATGGTGATAGAGAAAGCAAAGGAAACCGAGTACCAATAACATTAGCTAGATTCTGGAAACACGTGTGATGGGTATACATAAAGTTAACTGACCATACGCGGCGTATATTTTTGTGGTAGAAAGATGGGGGGTAAACACAACTGATCACATGAAAATCACATGACAATCAAATACCCCCGGGGTACTATTTGCTTTGTTTCGTATGAAGTAAATTTGAGAACACTATTTAGCTGCAAGTCTTCACGCTGTAAGGAGTGACAACAAAGAGATATGAGGTGCAGAATAAACTACATCGCGGATGGCATGGGGAAGGATTCATCTGGCAAGCAAAAATAAATTGACCAGATCATTGACAGCAACAAGTTGTTAGCAATCTTCTTCGAGAAATTGACAGTTATCATGGTCTTAAAATGGCAAGGAGACGAATAAATGTGACCTACATCTTGGAGTAAACGCAATACAAATTCCGAAAGAACAAACCAAAGGATGTTCCCATACATTCAATAGCACTCAAAAGATTGTCTGACAAAACTTGCCAATGGAAATACAACACAACTATGCTGTAATTGCAATAGGTATGACTGGTATTGCCATGAATGCACTTGAAATTTTCATGATTCTAAAAGGAAGGCAATACCGAATACCGTTCCAAATGTCACTGCTCAGTCTAGCAGGGGCTGATTTGCTGGCATCTCTATCGCTTGCCCTCTAGTCTACTTTTGAATTGCTATTTAAGTTAGGCTGCCCAGTTCCTAAAATACTGACTGATTCTTACATACGTGCGTTCATCTTCAGCTCGATATCAAGTCAACTGCATGTAATTCTAATAGCAATTCAGTGACTATTTGCTGTACTGTTCCCATTCAGTTGTAAACGTGTCTTGACGCAATTTCGCTGCTTTTTATTCTTGGCATTGCTCTGGATCGCTTCATTAGTTGCTACTGGTCTAATTAACAATTTTCTTGACACCGTGGCGTTGACATTAATCACTGGTGTTGTGATTGCATTTTCGTACGCCTTTATAGTGTATCGCATCCGAAATCGTCCCGTTGTGGTCACTCGAGATTCAAGCACAGGCTCCGATGTTACATTATACTCTGGAATTCTTTTTCTCCTATTTGTTGTTTGTTATTTTCCATTTTCTTTCTTCAGCATCATCCATGGTGTAGAACAGAGACACAGTGGTCAATTGATAGCAGTATTTTATTTCTATTGGCTTAATACTATAAACAACCCAGCTGTATATTGTCTGTTCAAGTCGTTAAAAGGCGGTACTAAGTGTTTCAAGAACCGAAGGACCTCAAATTGTGTACCAGATGCTTGTTGACAGAAAAAACCTAGTTAAATTTATGCTGGGAGTGAAGCAGGCCTGGCCATTTGAGGAGAGCCATAGCTCTTGCTCCCCTCCAGGCTCTCCTCAACTGCCGGAAGGGAGCTACAGATTGCTTTCCTAAATTGCTCTTAAAAGAAAATTGCTCTACTTGAAATCAATGTTTCCTTTGTTTATATTCTTATGTGTCTAGAAATAGCTCACCCGGAGATTGCTAGGAGAGCTGTTTACCGCTCCCCTGCTTAAAGTCTTATGGCCAGACCTGGTAAATGCTTCTAGAAATGCGATAAGGGGTTAATTACAGTATGTTAATTCCTGAAAGGGCCTATTGGCGAGTCGTGAGCCCTACCTCATAAGTATGCATATAAATCATTTTCATTGCTTCTTGCTGTAGTTAGATTATTCGCTTTTTAGTATAATTATTGGTAAAGAACATTGATTGAAAGAGATGTATAACATAAATATGCCAATTTTATAAGTTGTGACGTAATTTATAAGTTGTAAGCGAAGCGGTACTTTAATACAAGGCAATCGGTAGTAACGGGCACAGATAGGTCGTTTATTGGACGTCATCATCAGTTTCTTAAAGACCCTTTTCTGTAAAAGGACTTAAGCAAATGTTGTCCATTACCTTGAATGCTATACAGTGTCTACTTTCAAACCTGATTTCTTTTTTTTCCAAAAAATTCAATTGATTTCTTTTTATCGTTCTTAAACCAATGTCGAAGGTGTGTTTGTTAAATTTTATTCTTTGATCGTCAATGTCACAAAACCATCAAATTCATGTTAGTTTTCATCAACGAATGAAATATATATTAGATCACTCCAAGTAAAGAATGCCTTCCTGGTGTTATTTTATCTTAGATATACCTATCTTTATTATTTTGATTCCATGCATAAGGACACCTAAACTAACCACTTGCTTTACCAACAGAGCACTTGCTAAACTTGTAACATAACCCTTTTCTGTCTTTTAATCACAAAGTACAATTTATATGCAGGAAAGTAACATATGCCAATTTAAAACCATTCATCACCATTGGGAGACCTGGTTATCAACTAACACAATGTGATGTATGAAAACCATCCTAATCAAATACTGTCAATTGTGTACTGTCAAATGCTGGCATTAAGTTGTATCAATATTTCAGATTAAAAAATGTTTATTTATTATATACAGTGGGCATGATCTAACATTGCATCAACTTTTTGACAGAATATCAACTATTGCTGAAACAGATATAATAAAAAAGAAATAAAAATTATACTTCACTCTGCACCCTACTCTAATCCTTCTTTGAAATAGATCTTCATCCAGATAGATGACAAGGCTAACTTTAAAAGCTATAGATTAACACAGCCTGAAGGAAATATATTCAAAGCAGTTTGCTGTTAGGGGACGTGGGCTTCTTGATATTGAATAAGTACTTCTGGAAATAAAGTATTTTCTGGCATGTTTTTGAGATATACTTTAGTTCTATGGCACATGGGCCTTTTCTGCATATTGCAATTTGCAAAATTTTTGCAAATGCAAAAATGCAAACATCATGAAACAGAACTTTCCAACACCAAAACAATGTGAAACACCATAACAGTAAGCACCCTTGCTTTTGCTAATTGGTAATTGGTTGAAATCCACTCCTTCTGTTTGGTTTAAAGAATATTTTATGTTGTATATAAACGTTAACTTTTATTTCTTGTTATTAGCAAATGGATGAATGAATGAATGAATGAATGAATAAATGAATGAATAATGAATAAATGAATGAATAAATGAATGAATAAATGAATGAATGAATAAACAAATGAATGAATGAATGAATGAATGAATAAACAACAAATGAATGAATGAATGAATGAATGAATAAATGAATGAATAATGAATAAATGAATGAATAAATGAATGAATAAATGAATGAATGAATAAACAAATGAATGAATGAATGAATGAATGAATAAACAACAAATGAATGAATGAATGAATGAATGAATAAATGAATGAATAATGAATAAATGAATGAATAAATGAATGAATAAATGAATGAATGAATAAACAAATGAATGAATGAATGAATGAATGAATAAACAACAAATGAATGAATGAATGAATGAATGAATAAATGAATGAATAATGAATAAATGAATGAATAAATGAATGAATAAATGAATGAATGAATAAACAAATGAATGAATGAATGAATGAATGAATAAACAACAAATGAATGAATGAATGAATGAATGAATAAATGAATGAATAATGAATAAATGAATGAATAAATGAATGAATAAATGAATGAATGAATAAACAAATGAATGAATGAATGAATGAATGAATAAACAACAAATGAATGAATGAATGAATGAATGAATAAATGAATGAATAATGAATAAATGAATGAATAAATGAATGAATAAATGAATGAATGAATAAACAAATGAATGAATGAATGAATGAATGAATAAACAACAAATGAATGAATGAATGAATGAATGAATAAATGAATGAATAATGAATAAATGAATGAATAAATGAATGAATAAATGAATGAATGAATAAACAAATGAATGAATGAATGAATGAATGAATAAACAACAAATGAATGAATGAATAAACAAATGAATGAATGAATGAATGAATGAATGAATGAATGAATAAATGAATGAATTTCAAAGTTTAGTAGATACAGGTAGGAAGGGGCACCATGTTCCAGAAAAAGGTACACATTCTTAAAAAAGTTGGAGGAATTTGCCCCTGGTGCAGCCTAGTATTGGCATTCCAGAAAAGCTACTTCTTGATGATATTTGATGAGTTTTCCAACAAACAAAAAGCTTCAGCCCAAGCCCAAGCCCATTTTATTTTTGAAAAAATTCTTTACTTTGACTGAGTTACTAGATGCCCTGCCCATCTCAGTTTTCAAAAATTTGGATACTGTCTTTCCTTACATTTATTTATGAGACACTACTCATTGGATCATTTTTGCTTAGTTTTCGCAAAATAAAAATAATCCCTAAGATGCATTTTGTAAAATGAAGAATAAACACTAAGGGATGCAGATATGACCCTTGTTACACCCAACACATTAGTATGGGTTTTCTTGATGATGAATGGAAACAAGCTGTGCCTGCTATTTGGAAAGGCTATATGTTTTAGAAATATGACCTTCTAAGTGTATGTAAAATTATTTGGCATTGACTTGTGAACACTGATTTAATTATTCATTGATGATTTTAATTTTTTCATAGTAAAAGGCATCTTTTCTATTCGATGTCTAATTCTAACTTTATTTTGACCGATTTGCTTATGTACTTATTATGGGAATAGGTAAAGTAGTACTTAAAACAGTTTAGTAAACTCATTATCAACTGTTTTTTCAGTTACTTTAATTGTATCAAAATGAGGAAGGTTGAGGTAAAAAAATAAAAGGTTTGCAGAAAGGTCAGTAACTTTTTCAACTCTGTTTCAAATACCTTGTGAGGAGATTAAGAACAAAAATCGGAAAGACTAGTTAAGTAAAACAATTTATCTAATGCAATTAGGTACAGGAACCTGACAGAGTCATATAAAGGGGACAATAGTAGTTTTGCAGATTTATAAATTCCCACACATTTTGCATGTCTCTCATGCATTCGAGAGGTAAGAAATGATATATGCTTCAATTGAAACTATACCCATGCACCAGTTTGTAAAGGTTGGTCTGCGCTGGGAACACATTCCAATCATTTCATTAGTGCAGAATAGTAATTTTTTAACCGGATGTAGATTCCATGCAAAATATTTGTGTATCTGGTCATGTTCCCCAAGAAAATTCCACCATTTAAACTTCTGACTTTGATAACAATAAAAACAAAGAATACAGGATCTCTTCAAAAGCCCTTGCTACAAATTCTGCACATGGTTTCGCGAGAAATTTTCGTTATCTGCAGATATTACAATTATTGTTCTAGCGTTCTCCGATTGGAAAAAACACTTTACAGTCTGGCTCATGCATCTGTGGACCACTATAGATCTGGAATGCATATTGGAACACAAACTTGGCAGATTGATTTTGCCTTAACGAAAGAAATTTGTATTGTATTATACAGTTGGAAAGGCAACTACAATCTACACTCATCAAATAAATTCAAAGAGTCATTAACTGTGGAATGGAACAAGCAATTTTATTTTTGCTGCAGGTAAAAATTTATATCATATTTCGAAGCCCTTAAGTCCAAGATGGTAAGTAAATTTTACCCTGCACAATGCAGTTATTCCCCTCTGTCTTACTAGTTCCATTGCTTGATATCCTGGATAAAAGTACTTTGATATTATTTCTTGTTGTTTTCTTTTAGAGATTCAACGCGTCTTTTGGCGAAGTCGATGAATCATTGCAAAGATACCAACCTTCATCTAGGAAGTCTATGAAAAAGCTGCTTTACACAAAGAAAACAATAATCTTACCAAGGAAGTTCGTATGATTTCCCTGCATTTGCTGGTTTTTTTGTTGTCGTTTCAGTTTTCTGTGCAGGATCAACGTCGACATCCATAGCATCCGTCGCCATCTTCTTCCCGCCAATTTACTGCTGTGTGTGTGCCACGCGGGGGAGAGAAATGTAAACGAGGTTGGCCATTCAAATAGTCGACTGGTGTTTTTGTTTAAAGATCTATATATTTTGTGTCGTGGCTTTCATTTTTTATAAAACAACCAAATAAAAAAAATCGTTCGGGTTCACATGCTGCTAAAAGTGTGATGTTTCCACACGATCGATCAAAAAGTTTGCTGAGCACGGCAAAGTCAAGAAACTTCGGAAAAACGCTGATATTAAAAAAGGTTTTGTAGCATGGTACAACTTGCCTGTGTTTCACACCTCTAGAGACTATGTGCAACTAGAGAATATTTTTTGCTAGTCATGCCCCTACCACTTTGAAATTCGTGCCGTGGGTCTTCGACGAAATTGTTGCATCATATTTACACGACAAAATGGCAATGTTAGAAATCTAAAACAAACTGTAATGAAGTACAAGAACGAACTCAAGATTGCTGAATGGAAGTTAGAAATTTTATCGAATTATCGAGGTATTATCGGAGTTCGACTCAACTGGAGTTGAACTCATGCTATCTCGAAGTTTTCTTCGTTCTAGGGAAGCGTAAGGCTGCGTACACACTGAGAGCGAAATAGCGCAGCAGCGAAGCGAATGAGCGAATTCGCATTCAGATAGTTTGTGCTGAAAACAATACGCCGGTTCATATCAAGACAGAGCGATAGCGACACGGAGCGAGAATACTTCTCCTCATGTATTTTTTAGCTGCGAACGTAAAGAAATAACAGCAACGGACGTTGATTATACCGTTGCCATACAACCTATAAGTAATTGGGGATAGTCTGGCGATACTGGTCTTCAATCAGACCAGTATGAAAGTACACAGCCTCATATTTGGGGACGAAGGTAGCCCCCAATAATTGGCAAATGTACTTTTTATGGGAAGTAAAACAATGTACAACCACCCCCCCCCCCTACCACCAATATTAATTTATTCCCGATTGCAATAACGAATCAAACGTACAAATCATTATCGAACGTACATATCGAAGAATTTGATTCCTGGTTTAGAATGATTATGCTTATTTTTGAGGGAAATATTTCAGCGTAAAGTTAAAAGTTTACAAAACTTCAAATTCTTTGGATGCCATTTTGATTAGGGTGTTGCAATACTTTTGTCCTGGTAGTGTAGATGGCTATGTTCTGAATCTGCAATAGCCTGGTCATTCCTCAGCTGCGGCATCAAATGAAGATATTCACTAGATAAAAGCAAAAATCTATATTCATGAATAGACAATTTATGTGTGGAAATGAGTGAACTTAATGTAAGTACATGTCTGTCAAGAGAGCCAGCTTCAGAATATTATGAGTAGATAAACAGAGCCAGCTTTAGCACGTATTGAGTCCATAAAAAGATCAATGTGTGAGGCCTGATATCGCCTTTGTGGAAAATTTCAGAATCCAACCCCTCTAGCTACAGGCAGAGATGGCACGAGATAGTGAAAAAATAGAATTCTGAAATACTCTTTGTCCGACACTCTTCAGAGTACAAATGTCCGATAATGACCAAAGGTTAGCAGAGAATATAAATCTGAGAAAGCACTCGTCATAGTATTAACAAGGAATGGAAATTGAATTTGAAAAGTGAGGTTAGTTGTTTTGAAGTAAGTAGACGGTAATAGTCAGGAAAAAAGTAAAACGACGACGAGAATACAATATCAAGCAATTTGATTTTAAAATAAATTAAATTCAATGTATACTAATATTTCGCCTCGGCATACAGGCCATCATAAATACAATTATGTTATTACTCATTTCAAGAATTACCGAATCCGTCGGACAGCCTATCCCGCGTTTCTTCCTTCTTACACATGTTTATTGTTGTGCATAAAAACACAAGGAACAGTTGTACAGCGTATTCTCTTTCGTTATTGCCAAGATTACAGAAAAGAACCGAGGAACCGATTAATGTGAGACAACATTGCTAATTTTGACGCAACTACAAAGCAAGTGGATTACATAATCGATAACGAGCATCATAAATAAACTGCTATATTTGAGAGGGTTCGAGGGAGAAACGTCCCTATTTTGGATAGGAAATTAACTGTCAAGGAACATGACTATCAAATACCCAACCATCATGAAATGAAAAGATAGCAGCCACACGAATGACCAAAGTCGATTGAAAATTAAGAAAATCATTTCAATTAAAACATTACGTCACTATGACGTCAGCGTCTACACCTAGACCATACCTTGCTTACCTTGAAGGAAGATTTTCAAAGTAGCAGTCTGTTTGAAGAAGCTTTCAGAGAAGGAGTTTTTGGAGGAAGACTTTCAAAGATTTGGTTTTTAATTAAATCTTTAAAAAAACAAAATACATGTAATCTTTCTGTGTTTCTCATTTGTGAAGTTTATTTCAGTTCAGGTAGTCAAGAAAAAGCTTTTCGTATTATACAAAATGCACAACGGAACAAAACGATGCAATGGTACAACTGAGGAAGTGGCAAAAATTATAATGCAGTTTAATCTTGTAAAGTCGGATCCAAGGGGGTAAGGAGGTGGTCCGACAAAATTAATGTCCGACCTCTCCGGAATATGACTTTTGACTTGAATAAGGTAAAAAAGTCAGATAGGAGTTGAAAATCAATTTGACTTAGCGAATGCTAATCTACATTATCTTTGTATGTTTATATGTTTACATCACGTTCTCGGATCGGATTTATTGTTATTGCTCTTAGTTTATGCTCCCGTTTTGTTGCAGCTATCATTTCTCTTTTTAGATCATCATTTTTAAAGCATAATTCTCCATCTCCTGATGTATGCATTTCTTTTTTTAGTGATGATTTTATTGTCATTTTCACGAATTATACTAAAATCTATGGATAACGTTTTGTTTTCTTCACTTATTTTCTGATTTTTACTTTTCTTTGTCAAACTTTGATTTCTCTTTCGATATGCTACCTCTATTTACACCCTTCATTTTGTTACGGTTTACCCTTTCAATCATTATATTTTCTTCTGAATTCCATGTTTCCCACCAGATCTTTAATACCACTTTCGACCCAGGGGCGGACACTTGGTCAAATATTGGGGGGAAGGGCCTATTGTCTTAATAAGATGACGTCACATTTCTCATTGTTTTAGAATATAATACCATTGTCCTCTAAAGTATTGGGGGGCGGTCGCCCCCTCGCCCTCCCCCAAGTGTCCGCCACTGTTTCGACCTTCATTTTTCCCGCCTGATCTTCATCTCAGTGAATGATATCAACCCGTTTGAATTAGGCCATGATTCCCATCTGATGTAACCTAGCTCGTCGCTAGAAATGCCTTTGCTCATCAAGCTGTTTAGATTTGACGAAAATTTTTTCGTATGCCACCAAGCTCCTTCTCTTCCTTGAGCCAAATTGAATATTGGAACACCATCATTATCCCTGTCGACAGTTGTAAACATTGCGCCGTTACTTGAACCCAGTGAGTCACCAATATTCCCCTTGCTGTATTCAAGATGGACTCTATAACCATTCGTCTCATCTGCAATACGAAAGTTTCTATAAACAGCAAACCCTTTTTTGCCATTTACATCTTCAAGATCAACCCTTAGAGTAATATTATTCCCTTCTGTAAGTTGAAATACTGAATTTAGGCCCAACCAGAAGCTGCCTTCGAGCCTCCCAAAGCCATGCTTGTAATACTTCCATTGCTTCTGAAAGCTAGATCTGCTGTCTTTCCTACGTTGAAATACTGTCCATCCACCCGCTTCAGTCTCCATGTCACAAACTGCCTTGATGGTCGATCCATTCTTCAAGTGAATGTCGATCAATGACACCCCTGTAATTCCACTTTCAAATGCTTGCGTGCAATCTTTGAAACCTAAAAACAAATCACAAATGTTTGAACGACAGAAATGAGTTGTTAATGACTTTTTGCTAGGGATAATATTCAGGTGCTGCGATGCAAGTCGGAAAGTTTGCGGGGGATGTGCGGGAAATGTGCGGGGGATGTGCGTGGGGATATGTGGGGGTGTGCAGGGGGTGTGCGGGGGAGTTGTGGGTCAAGAGCAGATTACAGACCCATGACAAAAGCTCTTTATTTGAAAATATGAGAAAAACTTATAAATTGTAAATGCAAACTAACTTGTTTAAAAATGTGACTTGTTTAAAAATGTGAAATCTTAGTGAAAGTAAATTCATTATCAAAAGGTATGATTTTCTATGTGTATAAAATGTCCAATGTGCTTTTTTAGAAACAGCAGATTCAAGTCTGCGAATGTAGGACTTCATGTAAACAGACCTAAATAAAAGTCACCAATATTGAACCCTTAGAAAATTGAAATTATATTCTTGCTGTGTGGCAAATATTGTGCTTTTCTGGAAATTTTCAAGCCATAGCTTTCATAACCAGTTTTCCCGCATTTAAGCCAAAAGGATTCGATTTTTGGGTTTGAGCGTATTAAAGTGGGGCAACTGCCCCAAACACCTTTTATAATGGGCCTTACTATGAATCTTTGTTGAATTATATCATAAAATATCTTAACAGGCATTAAGTAAATCGCAAGTGTAAGACATAGAATACAATGATATAGCATAAAGTTTAACATGTACTTGTGCATTTTGGTTCACATTCCTTTAGGCCATTTTCAGGCAATTCAAGAAATCTTTTTTTACACAAAGAAGATGTTTCCTTTCGATTATAAACCTACCTTTTGGAAACCTATTGTATTCAACACAATATTGCGGTAATTGAAAGTTCACTTATAGATGAGAAATGAATATATTGATGCTAAAAATTTTCTTTTCGACTGAATCGAACTCGAAACGGTGCTGTGATATTTGGCGAAAAGACTCTTTCTAGCAAATAAAATGCATACATCTTTTTTCTGTTTACAAACCGGCTTACACGGTGTACTTAAACTAGTCAGTGAATTGAAATTCTTTGTAGACAAAATTGCTGATTTAGTCAAATATTGTGTCTGAAAACCCGCGTTTATACTCTCAGTAGCTAAAACCAAAACAAACAATTTTTGGATGAAGCTTGTACAATACGACGTTTGTCAAGTATACAAGTAATTGTATGGATTACGATAATTTCAGGAAGCAAAAATTAAATCATCGATTCTGACAAGCTGAGAGGCGCATGAATTTTGGTTTTATGACTTTGAAAAATTTTTAACGTTAAATCTTTTTAAATGCCTGATTTTGACAACGAACTTATAATCTTTGTTTTTATTAAATTCAACACGCATCATATTATTTTCAAAATCCAAGAAATGTCACAGTCTCAGTCTAACTTCAGCAGCAAAAGATAAAGATTAAATGTAACTGTAAAAATCAAGAAACAATTTAAATCATTTGTTTAAGTCACGAATTGAAGCCACTTTCAAAATGTTTTAGAGGGAACTTTCGAGTCCTTTCTTCTAATTCTCAGCCTTCAAATTCCAAAAACCTAAATATTCATCTTAATTTTCCAGTTGCTAAACTAAGTTTAGTGATTTTAAGCCTTGTTCTTCAGGCTCGTGCGATTAACTAGAAAAATTTATAATTGAAGATTCATTTTAGATCGGCTGCTCTTTTAGGAAGAATCCGCAATAAGTACATATGATCATAAAATGAAGAGAACTAATGAAAATGATTCGAATTTCCAACTTGCTATCCATAAAGTCTAACATATAAAAAATTCGCATCAATCGTTTGGCAAACACTGGAATTTGTTTGTTTGAAAACTGGATTTTGGTTTTGATAACATAAACGTTTTTGTATTGAATCCAAAGGTAAAGGAAGGCAGAAAGCTGTAGCCCCCCCCCTCAATATTTTTAAATTTTATTAAATATCCTTTTATAACAGAGATGTAGATTAGATTTCAAATTTGCTTCCTAATCAAGTTGCAGCCCAAGCAGAATAACCTAATTCATAAGTGATATTAAAGGCAAATCAAGCTTTTACTCGTATTTGTTTGTTTCTACCAATTTTCTAAAGGAAGTCTTTAGGACACCAAGAGGCTATGCTTGCGAGAAAGTATCTTGTTCCTTCCTTTAGATGTGACCACACTACTGGAAAAAGTAGAAAATAGGCCACTCTGACTACGAAAATTCAGAGTGCTTACAGCTTTCCATATCTCTTAAAAGCACAATTTCCGAGACTGTAAATGACAGTTAACTCTTCGTGAATATTTCTTCTCCCTCTTTACAAATGTCATTAGATAAGCTTTTAAAATTGAAGTTTATATTTATTTTTAGTGAAAGCGAGTTAGGAAATAAACGGTGGGTTATGTAGCCAAAAACTGTTTTAGAGGACATGTTTGGAATTATACGTAAAACGAAATTGTTTGAAAAGATCCTACACAATCTTGACTTCTTTATCTTAAATTGTGTAGGATTGTCAATCTTCGACTTTTTGCCATGGAAACATCAAAGATGCTTCCAAAATTGTCTGCAATGGCTGGATATTTACAAGAGCAGCATTTCACAAATAATCAGCAGTCTGCATTCATAGATCATTCTAGAGACGTGTAGTACGACAAGACTGATTAGCTGTAGAGAATGTGGTCATTACTCGTTGTCTGGCTATAAACACAGGCACATGTGACGTCATTAAAAGTTGAGTGTTACTATGACCTCCTTGAGAAAGGTGGTACCCAAGATTGGGGGTAGGATGGTCTAGAGTTGCAACTAGTTCTTCACAAAGTATGAATACCTATATGGTAAAATTTAAACTCATATAACAAGAACTGCCATTGGCCAACTTTTAAGTGTCTTGCAAACCTGTCGGGTCGTTGTTCTTTTGCATCGTAGAGATGGAAACAGGGCTCGACGCCTTGAATTCATTGAAAAATTCCCATCGATTGAGGGAGGTCATTGGGGTGGGGGCTCTACATGCTCTAATCCAAAAGTGAGGTGATTCAGTGTATGATTTGGATTGGAATTTTGACAAATTTTTAGAGGACTAAGCCCACCAGCGCTCAACCGCTACCATGGCCCTTGTCATCAACTGAAGTTCCAATGTCACTGAATATGAGCCAGCTCTAATCCCTAGGAACTATCAACTTATTTTGGAAACTAACCAAAATGCAAGTGAGACAATAGTTTTAATACACATTGGGACCACTTTTGATGGAACTCATAACCCAATTTCATACATCCAGCTTTCATTCACCAGCTATCTACTTCCAAATATTTTTACAGCTACGATCAGGCAAAAAGTTCAAAATGTGGTCCTAGAATTGAATAAGCTAAAATTGATCTAAAACTAAGAATCAGAATTTAGCCGAAGCAACACATAGCAAAACAGAAATTAAATCGATAAAGCTTTGTAATGTCAAGTAAATGTACGACGGATTTTGTAAAAAGTTTTGTTGCAACATGAAATAGCCATAGATATTTGAGAGAGAAATGAATAAAGTTTGAAACGTAACATATAATTACCTGCTATATTTCACAATCTGATATTTCTTCTTTTTTATGTTGAACTTAAGCATTGAAAGGAAAAGGAAAATTAACTTTGCATGAAATATTTATACGCTATACTAACCTTTAAAAGTATCCTTTTGCCAAATTTCCTGAAAATTTGCGTCAGGTTGAGTGTAGAATCTTCTGAATTTATTAGAATCTTCTTTTGATTTTGCTATGAATCGACAAGCGTTTTCTTGCGAGCATTGCAAATGGTCGAGAATGTGAATTTCATCTTCTTGCGCCTTTGCATCTTCAGCAACATTGTCCAGTTTTCTGAAATGATTGCCTGAAGTTTTCATCTCTGCTCTTACAAAGCTTAGATACAATAATTGGAATGAAAGTGTCAATCTAATGAAAGTTAAGATCCCCATGTCCATCATTCTGAGCCGGTTCTCAGAAACTGATTGTGTCCTATGATTATCAATGTATAATCTTAGCAAACTCAGATTCCGTTTCTTTTTGTAAAAGGATCTTCAATAAACATCCGTTATATTTACATCTGTTTATGACATCTGTTTATGAACTGCTTCGTGGCCAGAGGGCTGGGGCTAGGAAGCTGTGGCTACCGAGTTGTGGCCAAAGAGCTATAACTTAACGGCTTTAGCAAATTCTAAGCGAAAATTACAGCATACTTCGAAACACGAAACAAAACATTTACTGTCTGGGAACGTTTACAAATTTTTAAAACTGTTTAAGCTAGATTGCTAGGGTACGCCAGAGAGGGGCTTTGGGATAAAGGGCCCACCTTGCTTTTTGATTGGAGAAGCAAGGCGTAAAAAGTTCCCTATCCATGACAGTATCCCTGATTTCGTCTTCGTAAATACCAGAAAATGTTTATGACGCCCTGACAGTTGGTACAACATCCTGACAATCTGGTAGGCTAGGGCAAAAGCCAAGTGATGCAGACGCCAATTAAAAGATGCCCCAAAAACCTACATTTAGACAATGGTACTTGGCCCAAGTCCCGTTAAGTGTTGTATCTCTTGAACTTGAACAAAAAAACCTGTGGCCATGACATGATAAGTGCTAAATTCTTAAAGCTCTCTGTTAACATCATTGCAGGGCGCAAATATATTAAACAAATGCATCCTACAAGGAGCATTCCTAAGCTTAATGAAAATGGCAGTTGTTTCTACTGTAAACAAAAAGAAACATTCATTCAACGAAGAGAATTATCGACCAATTAGTGTTTCAACATCTCTCTCAAAAGTCTTTGAAAAATCTTTATAGCCCCAACTGTCTCCATTTCTCAATATGAATTTCTCTGACTTTTAATGTGTCTACAGAAAACATTTTTCATCCCAACATGCTTTAATAAGATTAATAGAGGAGTGGAAAACTAGCCTAGAAGCTAAGAAACGCACTGCAGCTGTACTTATGGATTTATCCAAAGCCTTTGACAGCCTCCCCATAAATCTACAAATTGCAAAACTAGCTGCTTATGGAGTCAGCATAAATTCACTCAAACTTTTACAAAGTTATCTCACTAACAGAAAACAAATGGTGAAAGTCAGTGGATATTTTAGTTCATGGAGGCCACTTAATCAAGGCTCATCAACCTCTTTATAAATGACATATTTCTCTTCAACAAAGAGGGCTCCCTATCAGTGGCGATTCTACGGGGGGGGCCAAGGGAAGCCACGGCCCCCCAGAAATTTTCTTTGCCCCTTGTTTTGCCCCCTAGTTTTTTCAAAAGTCTCTATTAAAAATTTAATGTTTCCTTTTGAATCTGTTCAATCGTTTTTTGACTTTGTTAGGGTTGCTCTTTTTATTTTCCTCAATGCTATCTTTATTGCATTTATTTAACAAACTAGGGGCCCCGATAAGCGTTTTGGTTTGTAACCGAGGTGGACATTTATGAAATTTTGGCTCCTTTCTGATAAGTTACCAAGTAAAAACCAAGTGTTACAAAGAGTTCTGTAGTTACCGAAAAACCTTCGTTCTTGACAATCATTTAAATTCTATATTTGCCATATATTATCACGAAGATCTACCTTCTTGCGGTGGGGTGCGCAGGGTCAGCCCAATTCCATCCCAGTATACCTTGGCAATCTACTATTGCTCATCGAAATTGTATGACTTGAAATTCTGTGTAACAGAATGATTTGCTTGATCTCATGGAAGTTGGATATAAGACGTAACTACTATGGAAAAATGTTTCCAATCAACCTAACAAAGCTATTAGACTTTAATTTTTTAGAAGTTTAGTTCTTCTGTTGAGAACCATGATCATGATGCATTATTGTTAAACAGATAAAACTCAGTGGAGTAACAGAACAAAGTTACTTTTAGTCAAATAACAAACGGTCCCGAACCTTTAGAGGCCCCCAGCAACAATTTTTCTTTGTTATTTTTCCTAGGGGACACAGCTGCTCCTTACACCACTAATAAAACTATTTGGCATAATGATAACAGCCTTAGAGCTGTACCAAGGACATACTTATCTATGGGGAGCTAAGAATCGGTGCATTGTAGCTAGCTAATTTTGAGCCACCAAGCCACTGCTTAACATTCTACTAGTTTCCAAAGTAATAGCTAGCGCTGGCTCCTACAACTGAAAGTTTGGCCCCCGGTTAGCCCCCTCCCCCAGATTTTTAAGACTTAAATCGCCACTGCTCCCTATATAATTTTGCAGATGATAATAAGATCTCCATTTCTGCTATAAATGTTGATGAACTCCATAGATTAGTAGCTACAGCATAACACCAATAAATGCAATGACTGGTTTAATTCAAATAATATGACAGCCAATCCATCTAAACTTCCGCCACTAATTGTTGGTAATAACGACAATCACATTACAGAATTTCGCATAAATGATTGCTTCAAAATAAATGTAAATAGCGAAGTAACTCTACTTGGAATTCAAATCGACGAAAAACTAAAATTTAACTCGCATATTGATAAAGTATGGAAAAAGCTACCATACAGCTAAATCAAAAGACTAGCCCGGTTCATGGGTAGCAAAAAATAATGGAAATTGTGAATTCATTTATTCTTCGTCACTTCAATTACTGCCCCTCATCTGGTTATTCTGCATTAATGCAAGCAAAAAGTAGGTCGAGAGAGTAAACGAGAGGGCCCCTACGATTAGCCCTTTCAGACTACACTTCATCGAATTCTAAACTTCTATTCAAGACTAAATCTACTACAATTCATATTCACTCCATTCGCCTGCTAGCACTAGAAGTTTTCAAAACTTTGCACAACTTGAATCCAGCCTTTATGAAAACTACTTTCTCCCAAAACCCAATAGCTATAATCTTCGAAGAATTGACACTCTCTCTGTTCCCAAGGTTAAAACTACAGGTTATGGTATAAAATCTATTTACTTTTATATATAATCAGTATATAATCTAAATCTATTTATAATCAGTGCGCTTGTAACGCTTGCAGTCAATAACTTCCATAATGCAATCTCTAAAATTTCTCCACGTTAATTTATATCAGTGTTCACACTATTGTTAAATTAACAGTAAAAAATATTATTTCTATGATTATTATCTCTCAAGTCACAAGCAAATGACGATAAAATTCTAAATGCAACTCTTTCGGCTCAATTTGATAAGCTGGAAACAATGGTAGAAAACCGGCCACCAAAATTGCCACACAAAAGCTATTTTTAAAGGTGGGGCGGACCAGTCTTTTGTACTTTTGTTGTAGTTTTGCTAATAAGGCGTGACGAGATGAAATTCTAAAATTGACAAATTCGCCATTATCATATTCGGTGAACACAATCTTGAAACGACTCGTGTAAAAAATGGGTCCCTTAAGCTATACTTAGACATGGTCTTTTGGACTCAAACTTCTTCCTTATGTAATTCTATTATGATTAAGAAAAATACCGATATCATTCTAAAATCAGCAAATTTGACATTATCTGTTATTCTGAAGAAGATGGTGGGTAGACTCCGCTGTAAACATGGCCCTGCGTGCTATATTTTAGACAGAAGCACTTGAACCCTGTCCATATTTCTGTGTGATTACAATAATCTTACTAATTAGAGTTGATAAAATTCGATATTGCGATAATGCAAAAAGCTGAACCCCTTAATTGAATTCTAAGACAAGAATTACTTGTTTACAGTCCTCTTTCAGATGTCAGGTTGCTATTTATAAATGTATTTTTATATCAGAATAACCACCATAGTCCTAAGTTGAACTGATGAGGTAGTTGTGTACTGTAATGTTTTGAATAAATTAACATATTATGACGTAACAGTACTTAATTAGTTGTAGAGCACTAACCCAGGGAGTAAAACGTGGTATATATATGAATATGATTAGGCCTTTTTTAACAACATAACATGTATGTCGATAACGATGGTTTTAAATAATGGATATGGTGCCTTTGTTTGCAGACTATCCCCAGTCTCCAAGACAATTGCCCGGCCTCGGTTTCAAGCTGCAAAGATAGTTACCACTACCACGTGTATGGTGTAACATGGCGTACAAAGTATTTGCAGCCATTATTGCCATTATGAAACAGGGGAAAGGACACGCCTTTTGGGATGGCAGACAATTTCTCTTGTTAAAAGCATATCTGAATGAAGCTGTTGGTCTCGCCTCATTGATATATGTCATTGGATAATAAACCATTTGCACTTTTTTCAAACACTTTCTGATAAGACACCAACTTTCTGATTATAGGAAATCTTGCACACCCTCACCCTGATGTGCCTCCTGCCCCATGCCCCCTTTTCGCTTGAAGCAGTTTTATCTCGAAGCTCTCAAAACCACTTTCCCGTCTACTAATTTCCTGACGCGTCAAACAAATGAGACGAAATAATCCTTTGGGTAAATAGTCTGAGCTTTTTCCTTGAATTTCAAACCCTTGATTTGCAACAGATGTTATATCCCAGAAGATCATTCTAACATATATCTATTTCAAAACGTGTATTTAGGAAAAAAACGCACATGAAAAAATTATGTCTCATCATTCATTCAAAGCCTCATGTCATAACTAACACATGTGCTAATAGCTGGAACCAAATCCCTCCAGAAAGCTTTACAAGAAAATAAAATATTGATTTCTAAATGATAAAGTATAGTTGTTCCGTAAGTTTCATTACTCATATTAAAAAGCTTTTATAACTGACATTAAGACAATATAACCTTGTGAATCGTTCTTCAGACTTCATCTTGAACCCGTTGTGATTAGCTTGTTGGCTGACGTCGTGAAGCGACAATTATTGTTTAAGCCAATACACAATAATAATACTCATTTCTAATAGTTTCTGTGTCCATTAAGAAAATATATCGACTTATTTGATTGATTTTTAAGCACATTTGAAAAAGAACCATATGGTATTTAAGCATTGCAGTGAACGCTCTTGCTTGTTAATTAGCGACTGTGTGTAGATTTTGGTGAAAAACCTTTAGATGGTCTTCGAAGCTTGACATATTTACTACGGCCTCAATGTTGAGACTAATTCCTCACAAGAGAGTAGCCAGGATAGATAGCTTCTATC